GTAGACTTGGACCGAGTCTCAGTCTTTCTGCTTGAATGGGCTTTTCATAACTTAATTCGTCTGTGCCCTGTCACATGCTAACTCATGGCGCAATTCACTGAATGCTAACTGGGAGCATGGTATAACACAAAATGGGCAATGTGGATGATCACCGATATGTGTTTGTCGTTTGGTTAGCGTCACCGTACGATTCATTGATACTCACCAATGACCTGCAAATGCGAACGACCGATTTGGAGACGCTTGTTAGCGCGTCTTCTAAAGAGATCACTGTCGCTCATGGTCAAAGAGCCACTGCACAGTTCGTTCGACTGCCAATGGTACTGAGACCCAGCATCGCATCCTCGTTCGTCGGCCACATGTTCAACATTGAAGTTAAACACGCCTCGTTCGCCTTGGACTCGGTCTGCACTGCTGTAGCCGGTGTCGGGTCTGGTGTCGGCAACGCCTAGCACGTCCGTGGACATCGCTTCGTAAGTGAACTTCGTCGTTGCCTCAAACGGCATCGCGGTGCCAATCGGTCCGTCGTTACCGTATGCTCGGACGCTCTAGAACACGTTCCGCAACACCGACTGCTGCTTAATGACCTTTGCGAGGCAGTGACAGCGACTGGAACTGACAAGTGATTGACGGCAGAGCCTCGTCTGTGATTCGCTGTTGCATCACCTCTAACCTTGCCCTCTCCCCGCATTGGCCCATTTGCAGATCACGTCGTTAACGACCGTCTCTTCGTCGCTGAAGTACCTCGCATACACAGAAACCCCTTTCAGCGATAACACAACATCAAGTCAAGTTTATTGCATTGGCAACTAAAGTCTGACCTACTTACACAGACAGAGGTTAACTATATCACTGCAGATATTCATGACGATGAACATCATCACCTGAAGTTCTGACCCAGCCGGTACCTGAAAACTTTCCACAGCGTAAAAGCATAAACTTTGTGGCATCAGTAATTTAGCAAATTGACACATTTGTGGCGTTGAATCATCGCTTGTCCCCCGTGCTACAGAAAACTGTCTCTTTTTCTTTTCATCTGTCTGTCATCTTCACAAAAGTCAATGCCTTGAAAATACAGAGGTGATCGAAGAACCGCAACTCTATGTCCTTGCAGCTGTTCCGTGAAACAGGCTTCCTCTGTTACTGAACCATGCATTCGTCTCTCAAACAAGGCATGGAATCGGTAGCGAACCATAGAGACGACCGAGTTCGGTCGTGCGTCACGAGTCAACGTCGGATTACGAGGTTTCCAATTCCCTCTTTACCACAGAAAAGTCAGAGGTCTAATCACGATCGTTTGGAAGCCTATTTGTCCAGGAACCGTTTTACGAAAATGTGATTTAAATAACGCTAGATAACGCCAAAAATGTAGTGTCTCCGACGGGGATAAGCTGCGACAACGGCAGATTTTCTCAATAAGTAAACAACTACGACGTCCTGCTGTCTTCACAGCGCCCTTAGAATTTTCGGTCTGCGATTGCTCATTCTTGTCGTCAGTTTGTGACGAACGACGGTCACAAGCTTGCGGAAGTCCGTTATGAAAATTGATGAATCATCAGCTGGATTTCGTTCATAAGAGTGAAAAACTGCGCCCAACCTTGAAACCTCGAAAGGAGTCATGGAATCTGCATCATCGTCGTTAGACCCTGACGATCGTAAGTACTCAGCAGTTTCGAACGACAATT